ATGAATGTTTGCATGCTTTTAATATTTTGAAGGAAAAACTTATAAATGCACCCATCATGGTGGCACCAGATTGGAATCTACCTTTTGAGCTTATGTGTGATCCAAGTGATAGTGCTGTAGGAGCTATCTTGGGACAAAGAAAGAACAAAATTTTTCAAACCATATATTATGCCAGCCACACCCTTTCATAAGCTCAATTGAATTATACAACCACAGAAAAGGAACTTTTGGCGGTAGTATTTGCTTTTGATAAATTTCATTCTTATTTGATTGCTAACAAAGTTGTGGTTTATACTGATCATTCTGCTCTTAAGTATTTGCTTACAAAGAAGGATGCAAAACCAAGGTTAATTAGATGGATTTTATTGCTACAAGAATTTGACCTAGAGATTAAAGATAAGAAAGGGATTGAAAATCCAGTTGTTGATCATTTGTCAAGGCTTAAGAATCCTAGCCAAGAGGTAAGTGCATGCCCGATTAGGGAAGAGTTTCCAAATGAGCAACTTTACATTATTAAGGTTACATCTTCTCCTTGGTTTGCTGACTTTGCAAATTATTTGGCATGTAATATTCTTCCTCCTGATTTATCTTATCAACAAAAGAAGAAATTCTTTTCTGATGTGAAAAATTATTTTTGGGAAGAACCTTTTTTGTATAGATTATGTGCAGATCAGATTATTAGGAGATGTGTCCTTGAAGAAGAGGTAGCTAGCATACTTCATCATTGCCATACTCGTGAAGCAGGTGGTCATTTTGGAGCCACAAAAACAACAGCTAAGGTTCTACAATCAGGTTTCTATTGGCCTTCCATTTTTAAAGATGCATACTCTTTTGTAGTTTCATGTGATCAATGTCAAAGAAGTGGAAATATTTCTAGAAAAAATGAGATGCCTTTAAACAATATGCTTATATGTGAGTTATTTGATGTTTGGGGTATTGATTTTATAGGACCTTTTCCACGTTCTTTTTCCAATCAATATATTTTAGTGGCTGTGGCTTATGTGTCTAAGTGGGTAGAGGCTGTAGCATTACCCACTAATGATGCCAGGGTAGTTGTTAAGTTCTTAAAGAAAAATATTTCACCAGGTTTGGCACTCCTAGGGCAATCATTAGCGATGGGGGAAAACATTTTTGTAATAAACAATTTAAGGCACTTTTAAGTAAGTATGGGGTAACTCATAAAGTTGCAACTCCATATCATCCACAGACTAGTGGCCAAGTTGAGGTTTCAAATAGAGAATTGAAAAGAATTCTGGAAAAGACTGTTAATTCTTCTAGAGAGGATTGGTCATTGAAACTTGATGATGCGCTCTGGGCATATAGAATAGCTTTTAAAACTCCTATTGGTATGTCTCCATATAGGTTAGTTTTTGGAAAAGCATGTCATTTACTTGTTGAACTTGAGCATAGAGCATATTGGGCAATGAAATTTTTAAATGTTGAGATGCAAGCTACAGGTGAAACAAGACTTTTACAATTAAATGAAATGGATGAGTTTCGCCAGGAAGCTTATGAGAATGCCAAAATTTACAAAGAACGAACTAAAAAGTGGCATGACAAACACATTTTGAAGCGTGAGTTTGCAATTGGTGATAAAGTGTTGCTTTATAACTCTTGGCTTAGACTTTTTCCAGGGAAATTAAGATCCAGATGGTCAGGTCCTTTCATGGTGACAAGAATTTTTCCTTATGGTGTGGTGGAAGTATCTCACGATACAAAAGGCACATTTAAAGTGAATGGTCAATTGTTGAAACCCTACATGGATGGCAGATACAACAAGCATGTGATGGCCATTGAGTTACATAATCCAACTTGATCATCCAAGGACAATCAAGCTACTTACTATAAATAAGCGCTTCTTGGGAGGCAACCCAAGCATTAAATTTTATTTTCTTTTCTTTTCTTTTATCTTTTATTTATTTATTTATTTATTTATTTATTTTATCCTTTATGTGGGTAGTGTAGATTTCATTTTTTACTATTTTTTTTTTACATGACCCAAGCTGAAGCATTTCAACACTAACTGAGATTAGAAGCATTTCAACCCAAGTTTCACCTTCCAATGTTCAACTGCTCATATGGGGAAGTTTTTCTTCTACTTACAATACATTGAAAATGATGATAGCTTGAGTTTGGGGGTTTAAATTTGTGTTTGGCTGTTCAATATCTATTTCCTGTGCTTGATTCTGCTTTTACCATTGTGGATTTTAATTAACAAGGAAATTCTTTGTTACTGAAATTTGGTAATAGAGCTCTCATTTCATGACACTGGGTTAATTGTTATGCCCTGCTTATTGTTAGCATTGTTTTTGACATGAAATTGAAGGTGTTTGGGTTAAATATTGGACTGCACATCCTTAGCAGAGGAAGTCTAATTGCTTTTTAAGCCTGAAATTTGTTTGTGGTTTTTGAGCAAATTATATATGGGTTCCGAGCAGGCTAAGTGATTAGGGAATGATAAATTGTTGGGTCATGCATGAAAAAAAAAAAAAAAAAGAGAAAGTTCGTCAACTTTGGGTGAATGTGATTTGCTTAATTGCATAGTGTGGCTTATAAACTATTTTGTTGTTCCTAATCGTTGGACAGGGCATTAAGCAAGTTTGGGGACAAGATTTTAAACATGTACATGCTAGAAGTCTCCTTTCATTAAAGACAGTTCAACTCCAACACCCAAATCTCAAATTTTCAAGTGCAGAACTTGGGAAGTTTTTTTTTTTTTTTTTCTTCTTATACTTTTATTTTACATTGAGGACAATGTTTGATTTAAGTTTGGGGGAGAGAACTTTTAGCTGTTCATTCTTATATTAGTTCGCATATTTGCATCACATGCATTTTTTTTTATTAGGGTAATTTTTTTTTAGGAGTTGGTTCAATTAGTGTCAAGGAATTAAATATTCTGGAGTTGGTGGTTCAAAAACTTCTAATTCTTTAATTCTTAGAGGAGATACAAAATCTGAAAAATAGCACCATTGTGATGAAGTTTAAGTTCATGAGTATTTTATTCTACTTGAGCACAAGATTGTAGTGAGAAGTTTAGAGAGAAGACTTAGTAGCACCTAAATAGCACA